CATCATAGTGGGGATTGATTACTTCACCAAATGGGTGGAAGCCGAACCCCTGGCCAGTATCACGGATTTTCAATGTCAACGTTTTGTTTGGCAAAATATTATATGCAGATTCGGGCTGCCCGAGCAGGTCATCACGGATAATGGACGGCAGTTTGTGAGCAAGAACTTTGAGGAATTCCTCACCAGATGGGGAATCAAGCATTCAAGAGCTTCCGTAGCATATCCGCAGGCGAACGGGCAGGTAGAGAACATGAACAGAACCATCATGGATGGTATAAAAAAGAAACTCGAAGATTACACGTCAACCTGGCCCGAGCAGTTAAACTACGTCTTGTGGACATACAGGACAACTCCCCGAACAGCAACCGGGGAAACACCGTTCGCCCTCGCTTATGGATTTCAGGCTAAGGTCCCAACTGAGGTCTTGGTGCCCACTCACAGAACCATCCACTATGATCCTGAGCAGAATGAGGACAATCTGCGTGCTGAACTCCACTTCATAGAGGAAAGAAGGGATCTCTCAGCTTTACGAATGGAAGAATATCACCGGGCGACTAAGAGGTATGTGGATAAACAGGATAAAATCCGTTCGATTGAAGTCGGAGACCTTGTCCTGAGAAATAGAGAGAAAAGCAAACCGCTAGAGGGCGGGAAGATGTCAAAGAATTGGGAGGGACCATACCGGGTCTGGAAAAAATACCGGATGGGGACCTTTTCCCTACAGGATACCGAAGGCTGTCCGGCAGGGATATGGAACGCTACGCACTTGCGGAAATTTTATCAATAAAAACGGCTGTTGCCACCTCTAAAAAAAAAAAGGAGAAGAGAGGGAGAACAATGCTTCCAAAGAGGCCAGAGTTAAAGAGAAATATTGCGAGCCGAACGGCATCAACAAGCCGAACGGCATCACCACAAACTCGGCCAAAAGTCTCACCCTGATCCATAGATGTCATTCATCTCGATCCATGGGGAGCCATCATCTCAGCACAAAAAAAAAAAAAAAAAAAAAATACAAATGTGCAGGATAACCAAGCCCGGACTCAGCTTGGGAGATGGTGTAAAAGATCTTGAGTAGGACGAACCGGGCGGCATCCGAAGTCATAGGGTGACCGAGCGGGGGATCGGGACTCTGGTCTTAAAATCTTGCCTTGGCCATACAGCTCGCCCGAACCTTATGGTGGTGGAACCCGAGCTGTATCCTGGAGGCGAGTCTCCATTTTGGCAGAGAATAAGGGGGAGACCCGAATTGGGAGCCTTATTCTCAACGGTCCAGGATGGACATCTCAACCTCATGATATGGATGACCCCGGACGGTAAAACCGACGGTATGCATCGAAATTATGGGCTTGGAAGATGGCAGACACTACACGAATTGTGAAACTGTCTTGCAGCAAGAGGTGATTGCCTTGCGGATAAGGAAAAACGCGGATGATAACCCGAACAGGTTACTTTAGCCTTCAGGGAACAACCAGTCGACGGTAATAAACCGGACGGCATGCATCTGAAACATGGTGCTCGGGGGCGCAGCAAGCATTTAACATTGATGACTTGCGCGTTCAGGGAACAACCAGTCGACGGTAATAAACCGGACGGCATGCATCTGAAACATGGTGCTTGGGGGCGCAGCAAGCATTTAACATTGATGACTTGCGCGTTCAGGGAACAACCAGTCGACGGTAATAAACCGGACGGCATGCATCTGAAACATGGTGCTTGGGGGCGCAGCAAGCATTTAACATTGATGACTTGCGCGTTCAGGGAACAACCAGTCGACGGTAATAAACCGGACGACATGCATCTGAAACATGGTGCTTGGGGGCACAGCAGGCGTTAAACATTATGTCTTGCGCATTCAGGAAACAAAGAACAACCGACGGAAATCAATCGAACAGCTTGCACCTCAACTTTGGTGTTAGGGACGGGCCGAACAGCTTACATCTCAATCATGATGCTGACTTGTAAAAAAAAAAATGAGTGTTCGGGAAGCCAGTCATTCGAAAACAGATCAATCTTTATTCTTCGGCACTACTGGCCGGGAATAATACATAAGAAAAAGGAAAGGGGATTACAATAAAGAGAGCTAAGCTACGGAGGATCCTTATTCGGCACAGCATCGGAGTTTGGGGGGTTGGCTGAATCTTTAGCCTTTTGCCTCTTCTCCATCACCCGTTGATAAGCACGGCAGAATAACGGATCAAAGCCTTCCTCCTTGGGTCAAAGGGTTCATCAAAAGATTCCTTAATCACCTCCAGATTCCGGTCGACCAGCATATCCTGGCACTTGACAAGGGTGTCCCTCGCCAAAGCATTAGCAAATGCAGTCCCGGACGGGGTTTCATCCAGAAGCTTGAGGCCATCGTGTAATGGGTCCTTGCTCCTCTCTAGGAATTCGCCCAGATGCTTGCCGAGGAACTCCCGAGCAGTATTTTCTAGGGCGAGGTTCAGGCCTTTCCCCCTTTGGAAGTCAATCACCGCCTTCGTGGTGATTTTGGAAACATCGGCGGTATAGGGGGCAGGGGGATTATCCCCCTTGGCCTTCTCAATTTTCAGGCCAGCAGCTTCGGCAACCTTCACCTTGGCACGCAGATCACGGATTTCCCGATCGCGTCGTTGGAGCCTCTGCTCCAGTTCGGCCAGCTCCTCCCTGGCTTTGTCACCCTTGTTGGCTCGATCTTGGAGATCTGCAGCCATCTTCCTAGCAGCAGCCAAAAGGGTTTGGCTCTCGTCCAGCTCCTGATGAAGGAGGGTCATCTCCCGTTCAGCTGCTAGGAAGGCCCGGTGATAGTATGTACCGGCCTGTGGAAAAAGGAACAGCAGTAAGAACAAGTCCAAAAAAAAAAAAAAAAAAAAAAACTGAACAGTCAAAGGATACCTTAAGGGACTCAGCGTGGCCTGCTTCAAATAGGTCGGACCAGTGAGTCAGGTTGGTGAAACCCTCACCAGCCTTCAGAGAGGTACTGCACCACACGGATGATGCAGTCTGCCCAAACAGCGTCCGGCATTCGGCTCGGGGGCCCATGGCAGAAAACTCCACCGTCAACCGATCAGGGATCGGGAGACTATCTGAAGCAACACCTCCCCTGTTGCCCAGCTTCGTTGAAGGGGAGGGGACCGGAGGCATCCTTTCCACAGAAGGGTCCGTCAGATCAATGACCTGATCGATCGGGACCAATGCGCTGCTGCTCTCAATTCTTGGCCGCTTGCTAACAGGCCCAGATTCCCGGGCAGCAAAAGAACCGGACTGAATAGCCTTCTCCTTTCCCTTGCTGACTATGGCGGTGGAGGAGGGAGTAGGAGCAGGACGCTTTATGGAAACGGGGGGAATCACGCCTACAAGAAAGAACGAAGAAAAATGAACAAGATGTTGATAAATATACCGAATGAACAAAGTAATGGAAGAATCTTACCGATGCCAGCAGCTAGCATTTTCGCGGGAGTCAAGAAGGACCGTAGGTTCTTGGAACCGCCCAGACGAAGTCTTTCATACTGGCAGAGAATAGCTGCATCCACCCTTGGGGAGGCATCCTGAACGGGGTAGGTGTTCCACCGGTCAGGGAAAGGAAGCGGCGACCCCACGTATACGAACACAAATCTTTCCTCCCATTTTTCCGGAGGTGTGGGGTTGTCGGTGAAGAGCGAACGGCCAGGACGGGCCACAAGCCGCAAGTACCCAGTGGTCCAGTAGGGCTGAACGCCGTAGCAATGCAAAAAGAGATCGGCGCTAGGGGCAATCCCCAACTCATGGCACCAGACAATAAAGCCGTTCAGGATCCTGTAGGTGCTGGGCACGAACTGTGCCGGCAGTACTGATACCCGGCGGAGGAACTCCACAATGAACAGGTGCAAAGGGAACCTCAAACCAGCAACCAAGGCATCCATGTGCACCAACACACATCCCGGACGGTGTCGCATGGGATGTTTGATGAACCCCGCATTGAACTGACGGGGTGGAGGTAGTAATTGGCGGAGCGTCTGTTCTGCATCAGCAGGAAGGCGTTGACGTTGCTTCCTGATGCAATGGAAGTTCAGACTATAACGGGGGGGCCGTTCAGGCATGCCCTTATTATAGATGGCTAGGTCATCTCCCGACTGACATCCATCATCAGGGAGGGGCTGTTCGGGATGAAGTGAGGCAGAAGACCCGTTAGAACCCGACGATCGGGTAGATGTACCTTGATCTTTGGGGTGAGCTTTTCCCCTTGAAAGGCGAATCAAAGTGGGTGCCATATCTTCGGAGTCTGACGAACCAGAAAAGGCAGACATAGAATAACGGAGAAAATTCTAGAGAGAGAAAGCTTGAAAGAATTCAGAAGCAGCAGAAAAAACTGAAACAAAGTAGCTGCATCCTTATATAAGGAAATACAACCGCCAGGAATTCGAATGAATAATAGACACGTGTCAAGGCGGCTGAGAGAAGTTAAAGCATCCTTTGGGGTGGGTGAACACCCGAACGGGGTTGAAATCAGCAAAGTTCACGAACCTCTAAAGGCGTCTCCCCGGACGGGATAAAAGAAAAGGGCTACAAGCGTTTCCCCGAACAGAAAGGAAATTTATAACGGTGGTAAAAATGATGGGCGTACCCGAACAGTATGGTTATCTAACATGGAAGAATATGACAGATGCAACAAAGAGAGCAAAAATACATCCCGAATACCGGACACAAATTCCAGCTAGAATGAAAGCTTACGAACGAATGAAATGGGCACAAGGGTCTTATATTAAGATCATAAGTACAGACTGAACGGGTTCATTATACACAACATATGTTAACAAGATTATCAAGTCCTGAATTCTGGATTTAACAAGGAGTTCACCCGAACAGGTGACCTGATCGCTTCAGGTGACCTGATCGCAACATGAAACGTATTGCGGAGGCGAATTGATAGGTGAAAAACAAATATAAAGTACAGTAAAAGTCACAAAGACGAGATGAGCAGGCAAAAGTTGTATATTCATCGGCTCTACTGGCCGGAAAGTACAAAAACTACTGATTCAAAGGAAAGGAAATACAGATAATGTCTAATCTATTGTTCGGGATGATCTTCATCGTCTTCATCATCGTCTTCATCAGCCTCATCAACAATTTGCACCACCTCCATCCCCAGGGCTCGCCGGCACTTTTTCATCTGTGCCATTAGGGCGTTCAGATGACCCGGATGGAGGTCAGAGGGGAAGTCAGAAGATTGCACTACTCGGCCCATGTGTTTTTCCAGGAGGGGAAGGAGGGGCTGGAGCATATGTTGACAGCCTGAGCTGTAGACCCCTCGGGCGAGATTGTCAGCCCACTCCTTGGTGATAGGGTGCTGATCAAGCACCCTGATCCCCTCCTTCTGGCGCTCTTCTCCGGCCAGTTTCTCCAGGTGCCTTCCGAAGATAGCAGGGAGCTGTTCGGTGGCATATTCTTCCTTGAGAGCCAGAAACTCCTCGGAAGCTTTGAATTGATCCCGAACAGCAGATAGATCAACTAACATTTCGGCCGGGCCGTCCGGGATTTGAGGAGGAGCTTCAGAAAACTTGACCTGAGCGGCCTCAGCGGCCGCAATTTTGGCTTGGAGAGAGCCCACTTGGACACGAAGCTCCCCGGCCTCAGCTTCCAGCTTCTTCCGCTCCTCGGCAAATACTCGCCGTTCAGCTTCCACCGCCTGCTCAGCCGTTTCCTTGGCCATCAGCAAGCCTTGTTCCTTGGCCTGCCTGGTCTCCTTGAGCTTCAGGCTGTATATCCCGGCCTAATGATCGAAAAGAAAAGTATGAGCACAAGATAAGCTGACAAAACAAAGAAAAAGGTAAAAGTAAATCATGAACAAGAAGCTACCTTCAGGACAGTCAGGGCAATGCACTCCTCGATCTCCTCCACCGGTATTGGGGGAAGGTTGTGTCCATTAAGGAAACCAGAGGTGGACCAGATCTGGCTCGCTGGACAGCCACCCCTCTCCAGCATTTCATGAGCAGGATCATAGAGGGAGATCCGCTCGAACTGACTAGCCAAGTCAGCCTGATGGGCAGCCACCTCCTCAGCAGAAAAATGGTGGGACTGCTGGTCAGAAAAAAGCTGATCCATCAGCGTATCAGCATGAGTTTGCTGATCAGGAGCAACCTGCTGCACAGGTTCTACATCCCGAACAGGTTCAGGCTGCTCGGGGAGGAGGGGGGCGGATCGGGAGGATGTCCCCTGATCGGCCTTCCTCAACCTCTTCCTCTCTGTCTTCCTCTGCTGCTTGGGAGGAGAGGTTGGTGGCTCATCATCAAATCCAACAGTGAAAAGCCTGCTGTCATCCATTGCTGATTGTCCGGGATTGGCTCCTTCGGAATCTGAAGATTCGCCTTGCTTTGGAGCTGAAAAGATAACAAGGAACAAATTAGTACCGAGCGGTTCACACGTGGATTAAAAAATTGTATCACACGGGAAGGACCACCCGGGCCATGGTACTTGGTTTTCAGTCAAGTAAGTCCAGGAATACGGGCAGTACCTATCCCGGCCTTAATTAGCCGTTCGGGAGTCAGGTAAGACATGATTTTGAAGCAGCCTCCTGCCTCTACAGCGATGACATCCTTGCTAAGCTCCTCGGAGATAAATGGCTCGGGGGACTTAGGAGGGAATGCGTTCCACTTCCTGGGAATCAAACCGTTCGGGACAGAGACAAAGAAAAACCTATCCTTCCAACCCTTAATAGAAGAAGGAGCTTCACAGAACAAAATGTGTCCTGGTCGGGAGCTTACCACCAGAAAGCCGTGGGACTGCTGGGGGATAACCGAAAAGAAATAGTGGAAAAGCTCTAGAGTGGGTATGACCTTGACACTGTGACAACGACAAATGAAACCAGCTATCGACCGGTAGGAGTTCGGCATTATCTGAGCTGGTACTACATTGTAAAAATTTAAGAAAGAGACAAAAAACGGGTGGAGTGGGAACCTAAGACCGGCCTTAATTGAGTCAAAGTGGACCACTACCATCCCAGGGAAATGACGCATTGGGTGAAGCCCGGCCTGGAGTCGGAAATCCACCGAGACCGGGATCATCATCTGGATTTGGGCCCTATTTTGGGCCGTAAGTTTTTGACGCATCAGCCTAATTAGGGCTAGGTCAAGCTTATGGAAAGAAACGCCGCTAGGGGGACCGGCTTCCATAGCCTCCATCTCACCCCCGGATTTGGTACCATCGGGATAAGTTCCGGATGAAGAGGCATCGTCGTGGGGGACCTCCGCCGGGATAGGAGTGACCTCCAGTGCCAGGCTAGGAGTATTCTCAGGAAGATCAACGTTTGAGGTAGAACACTCGGAGGAACGAAGACGGGTTGCCATACCGATCGAACAAGGAGGATAGAAGAAAAACAAAGGCCAGAAAGTACCTGAGCGAGAACTAAGGAATAGCTCTAGAGAGAAGGATGAATGATAAGCCGGAGATGCAAAGTTTCGAAACCCAGAATCAAAACCAGGAGAGCCTACTTATACTCTGTCACGCCGATTCATCACCCAATCAGAAGGGGACACGTTTTCTGTAATGATGACGGATACACGTGTCACGCGGAGAACCCTTCTCAAGAAATCATGGCTGTTATCGGAGTAGTGAAACGACAGTTGCAAATAACCGTCAAAATATACCTCGGGAACCAGCGGAATGCCATTCGATTTTCACCTGAACGGCATTCGGGCATTTATCTTCTACTTCCTCATGCACTCACTACCGTTCGAGACATAGGAAGTGGGGGACTAGTGTTGGGATATTGGGTCCAGGCCCAATATCCCTAGGCCCAAATCCGGAAAGAAGCAGCAAGCCCAAAGAACTCCCGAACGGCATTCGGGATAAGACTTATACTTGGAACATTCTGGGAAACAATTATGCCAAAGTATCAAGGCCGAAATATCGATCGGCGTTCGGGATACTTCGGGTAGAAATTTATCACCTATGGCGGGGTCCCACACACCGAACACCTTGCCCGAACGGGCAATCAGCAAGTGGAGGCCGCATTTAATGCTGGATCATGGCGGTAGCAAGTGGGGACATGGGTGCTTACATGGCAGAGGTGATAGCCTACCAGATTCGACCACGTGTCCACCTTACCCATCCCCATTTTAGTATAAATATCCATGTTTAGATCATTGTAAAGGGTTAGCATTTTAATACTCAGAGCTTAGCAATAGATTTACATCTCCTATCCTTGTAATCTCATATTCATCTACCGTTCGGGTAGTTTCAGTGTAATCACATATTTATTGAATATCGGTAAGCTTCTGAGTTGAGCAAATATCTCACTGTTTTATATTTTATACACATTTTAATCCAACCCTATATCCCTACAATATCCAAGGCTTGTGTTGGGCTTTCGGATCTTCGGGAATAAACCTCAACATACACATTTTGTGTACAACTTGTGTACACCAAGAATGATCCATATAATTAAGGCCAGATATTGATCGAATTATTTCCCGTCTAAATTAGCTACCGTCAATGCATGTAAACGACAAAATTTAACCGAAAGACTCCATTAATATAGATTAAATAGATTAAGGATTAAAATGATAGATTTAATACTTCAATTCGAGGACCAAAACGATATTGTACGTGATGATAGTTCAAGGATCATTTATGCATGTTACTCTTGGGGAAATGTAACCACAAGTATTTTATGTCAATGTGATATTTTCATGTCACTGAGGGTTTTCACTACCGGATTTTCATATCACTTACGGATGTCATTATTCCTCCCCCAACATGTGTCACTGTGATCTCGGGATAAATTGTCGGTGACTTTTCCAAAAGAAGGAGGGGGATGAGGAGGAGGAGATGATGAACAAAAGATAAAGATGGTGACCAAACGGCGGAGGCGGAGCAGAAGCTGTTATCTTGGAGGTATAGGCTTTCTGCGCTAAGAGCTTGAGATGGTTGGGAATAGGAAGGAGGATTTGGAATGAGATGGTTGCAGAGGCTTTGTGCATTGAGAAGAGATGGGTGCAGACGCAGAGGAGTTTCGAGGATAATCCTATCAAGGATAGAAGAGGGATCATGGTTTCCAAAAGGTTAGATCATATTTTTGTCAAGTTTTAAATTTGTCTTGTTTTTTTTTTATATTTAAAACTTATCAGTAATATATATTTTGCCATTTTTAACAAAATTTGTCTTAGCTGATACTTCATATATAATTCGTTATAACAGAATCTTACTCTTGAGTAAAGCATGTGAGATTGCAAAAATAGGAGTACAGTTTCAAAATTCCTCAAATAGGACTGTTTTTATTGTGATCGGACAAATATTAAATGACCCTGCAGGTATTAGCCCCTACCCATTGCCACCTGCTGACGCCGGACTCAGGCCGCCACCACCAACCGGAGCTCCGCTGCTGCCTAGATTCACCCTGTTGTGCTGTGATCGTCGCCTCCACCTGCCGCCAGAGCTCTGGCAGGCCAGGGCTGGAAAAAGTCCAGTTTTTTTGCCCAATCCGCCTGCCGCTGCTGCCACCACTCAGAGACTAACTCGCCACCAATGGGTTGACCCGGTTCACCAAAGGAAGTAGGGAGTAAGTAATTAATTGGATCAGAGGTAGGAAATTAATGTTTAATCCTATTTAGAAAAGAATAGATAGTGACTTTTATTTAGAGCAAAGTTGTACATAGTATATTTTAGGATGTTTTTACTTGGACTGTAATTTAGTGGTCTGGTCTGGTCTGACCTGAACTGTTCTGGTCTGGTTTCTTTGTATTTCTATAACTACCCGAGTCTGGTATGATCTGATCTGGTCTGGGACAAATTACAATACAAGTAAAAACATCCTTACTCCTATTAGGGACAATTACTTAATCTTTTATATATTATCTTTGACAAAAGATTTTCTTCGAACAAAAATTATCTTAACCAGCTTGTAGTTCATACGAAGTATATTGAGCGCGTTTGGTAGCACAAAAATCGGCTGATTTGGCTGATTTTGCTGAAATTTATAAAGTTTTGGCTAAAGTGGTTGCATTGGCTGATTCTGCTGATTTAAGAAAAAAATTATTTTTAAAATATATTTTATGAATAAAATAAATAAAAAATTATATGTAAAAATAGCTAAAATGATCATCTACAGTAACTTCAGCCAATACAGTCAGAAAAGTAACTCCAACCTTACTTTTTCTGCTTATTATGCATGCAATTCAGCGCGCGAAAGCAAAAGTTACGTGTTTGGTGAAAATGTTGACTAATAAGCTTGATAAGCCAAAAAACATGATTATCAAACGGCCTCATTATTATAGAATTATTAAGAATCTCTTATACATCCCGGCCAGTTCAAGAATCAATCATGAGGGGTGTGGGCCATGAGCCCATGAGTCAATGACTCAGACTTATACGTCAAGCAAGTTTGTTTACCATCATATACGGTTACCTTTCCCATATATCAAGACAAAATTCTATTACAAACGTTAAGAGTCCATTTGTTAGAACGAAAATCGGCTGATTTAACTGCTTTTGCTGAAATTTATAAAGTTCTGGCTGAAGTGTCTGCATTGGCTGCTAATTCTGCTGATTTAAGAAGAAAATATTTTTAAAATATATTTTATTAATAAAATAGAGAAAAAATTATATGTAAAATAGCTAAAATGGTCATCTACAGTAACTTCAGCCAATTCAGCCAGAAAAGTATCTCCAACCTTACTTTTTCTGCTTATTACACAATTCAGCGCGTGAAAGCAAAAATTACGTGTTTGGTGAAAAAGTTGGCTGATAAGTCTGATAAACCGAAAACAGTAGTTCCAAACGGCCTCTAAGTTCAATTCATTGATGGGAATTTATTTTAGGAAGAGAGATTTGTTTTAAATAAGATTAAAACAAACTTTTTTTACAAATCTTTCTAACCTATTATAGTATCTGTTCTGTTAATGTCAATATCCTTGAACTGGGATGAGATTAGAACTTGTGAATTCTGTTTGAGAATGTCACAGTGATGTCATCAGACCACAAAGTACTTGGCAAACTAGAACAAACCTTAAATTCATAACTAGGATTCTCTTTATTTTATTCACCGTCATACTATTTTTTACATATATCAATATATATAGCATATTAACTGATGATGACATGATTATCAAAGCATTTTAGTTCACTTTATTATAACAATATTGGAATCATCATTATTTTAATTACTTTTAAAACAAGACATCCAAAAAAATAACACGGTGATGAAGAAAACTCTCTGCAGATATGACGAGGAAAAATCTCCATACTCTCTAAAGATCTACCATATAAAACATCTATTTACTATAAAAATATGTTAACCCATATTTTTATTATATTTATCACATATTGTAGTATATGTTTTGTTCAATGCCTACATTCTTGATTGAGATTACTTTCAAACATGTGACTATGTGAGTCATGTGACCCCCTCCTTGAAAGTGTAACAGTGAAACCATCGAACAACAAAATATTTGGTTACTTACCCATTCGGCATTCAATAACTAATTTTGTCAAATATCTTATATATTTTTTTAGAGTTTCAACTAGTTTAAACAGAAAATAAATGAATCATTAAATAAAGTTTTCGTATACTCTCTCTTGACATGGGTGTATCTTTGCGTATATGCCTAAATTAAAATCTCCAAACTACAATTTGTTTCCACTAAATTGATTTATTTTGAGAGCGTTCACCTCGAATGAGATATACATACATCGATCTAGGGGTGTTTGACAAGATGTTGGCTGTTAACGGTTGGCTGATTATGTTAGCTGATTGATGACAGCAGATTCAGTTGGCTGTTTTGATTAGCCGATAGAATTAGCCGTTTGTAAAATAGTGTTTGGTTAAATGACTGTTTACAATTAGCTGATAACTTGTTGAATGACTTTTAAGGACATCATTTATTATTTTTATTAATGTAGACAGTACCACTAGTTTAACCGTTTTTATAATTTAAAAAAGTAAAAATGTATTAACACAGTGATAATTATTTTAAACATTGTTTTTTCAAAAACTAACAAATTTAATTAAATAAAAATACCTAAAATGATGATATTTTGATTAATAATGGAGTTGTAAGTAAAAATATACGGAGTGCCATTTTTATGGTATTAAGACAATGAAATGCTTTGATGTGTTTCATCTCATTATTTTATTACAAAAGAGGATAAGCTAAGAAGTATAAAATTAATAATTTCCGTAAAATTATACTACGTACTCATCAATATTCCATACTTTATTACAAGTGACTTTATTACAAGTGTGATAGAAACATTTTTTAAACTACCAGAGTATATATCTAGTATAATTTTACGTGATAGAGTACCCACTAATGAAATTGCCAACAAGTGTGATAGAAACATTTGTTAAACTACCTACTACGTATGTTTTAAGCTGGTAGAAACATTTTTTCTCTACATGAGAAAGGGCCAAAGGGGCAATTAATGATTTAATGGTAAGAGAGTGTGAGAGTGGTAGGGTAGACTAGGAATATTTATAATATTAAGGGAAAAGCCATGCCCAAACGCTGAGATTTGTGGCGTTTCAAAAGTTGGCTGTTCTGGGGCAAGAACCCGAATAGAAAAGTTGTTTAACCAAACACCTAATTAGCAGATTCATCTGGTCAAAAGGCTAAAAACAAATCAAAACAGCTAAAAAATGGTTGATAGGCCACTAACCAAACACCCCCTATACATTTACTCTTCAACTTATTCCGTCTTTAAATGTTATCTGTAAGTAAATTAAGGAATGATGATTTTATATATACGTGCACACATATTTAGGATGTATCTAAACAGGTCTGGTCAATGTGTGTTCTATGTATATCTTACAACCATTAAAATTTTGTCTATTTAAGTTTGGTCCGATCTGATTTATTTAAGTGAATTGTAGTATGTTATGATATAATATGGTTTGGTATGAGACTCAAACTAATCAAGTAAAAAGTGTTTCAGATTCTCGTATATAATTGTGCTATAGTGCAGTAAGAGTTACATATTGAATTTATAAACTTCCAAGAATTATTTCTTCAATTTATAAAATTATGACGTTAAATGATTGATAGTATTAGTAAATTTACAAAACCGCAACCGCGAGAATTTAAATATGTTTCATATTATTACTTTTTGGACACAGAGTAAATTTATGTGCTTAATTAAGTATTCAGTATTGGATGATATGATCTTTCGTATAGGTGAATGGTATGGTATCCATAAAAAACGAAAGTAGTGTACATATTATGTATTTGATTGATCAAAGTCACCATTTCAACATTTCTTTATATTTAAAAGATTCAATTGCAATATTATTCTAATTAGTTTCTATATATGAACAAGGTATGTACCTAGGGGTATACAAAATTGCTAATTCTATGGTACCCTAATGGTACCATATCTTGTCCACACGGACCATTTAAAATATTACCATTGAATAATGGAAGAATTCCTGAAATGGGGTACCTAAAAACGTTTTGGTACTTTAAAATATAACTGTCATGTTGTTATTCCTTCATTCTGAATAATTGTTGTCAGGCTTGAGAAATATAGTCATGTTTAAAGTCTGGTAACGTCAAAACATGATGCAAGTAATTGCATTTATTTTGGGAATAACAAAATGAATATCCTATTTTGAAATTCACAAACATTTTAACTCATATTTATGACAATTTCTTTTGAATAATCGAAACATAAATAACTAGTGAAATTATTAAGGGTGGGCACGGTCCGGGATGTTCCTATTTTTTGCCGAACCTGTACCGTGACTATTAAAACGATTTGGTTTGGTTCGGTCTTAGACTTAAGCCTACGCGATATCGTTCCTTTATCAAATGGGATGACACCATATCATATCAATGTCAAATGTTAATGTTTTTAATTGTTTAGGGGGAATTAGAGTTTAGCCATACTCCAAAACTCCACTTAATTGATCAATATTCCCTTATTACACAGTTAATGAATTTGAGATAAACTTTAGGAGTACGACATAAATCCGTAGTGTAGACATTTAAATGAAAATACTAAACTTATAAATTTGATATTTGATAGAGTATTAGGTACTCCATAAAGCAAAATTAATTATAAATTGGAGTAATCATTAATAAAGCAAAAAAATACTCTGTATTAGGGACTCATGGTATGGTATATCATATATATATGTGTGTGTGTGTGTTTTGAAGACCAGTCATTGCATGATTTGCAACGGGTATGATACGGGGTCGAAATTTAGAAATCAATTTGAAACCCATTTTTTATAGATCCAATTGATATCGACCGGTTTGATACCACTTGGTTCAGTATTTTTGTCAACCCGGCCTCAAAAGTTATGACTAGACCAAATAAATGTATAGGAGGTAGGATACCTTGTTTTTTGATGAGTACAACAGCAACCACCCATAAAATTTGCCACATCTTAACCATATATAACTATTCTCGATTTCGCAAGATGGATTAGTGTGTTTACCTGCATAAGTTCCAATGAAACCCTGCCGATATTCAGCTAGGTGGCTGATCTAATTGCCGTTGTGAATCTCTTTTCTGTTCTCCACACCGTCAAACCTTTGAACGAAATCCATCTTCTTTATAATTAAGAAGTTTCCGGACATACCACATTATTCACCCTATATATAAGCTTATTACGGATTACCCCCCTCCTAAAAAAATGGTTAGAAATCTTGTTTACTACCTCCCTATATAATTCGTTATTAAGAAACCATTTTTTATTCTTAGTTGAAGCTACGGATCGGAGTATTATGATTACCCAGAATCTATAGCACTCTTTAGTCTTTACTCTCAAGGCACCCTATGATCATATCCCGCCTACCTAGATCATTAAAATAGAAATATCATATTAAAACATGCAATTCGAATGATTATTTAATTTGTCAAGTTCTGTTGGACCCCAAAAATTAAATTAAATTTTCATAAATAAATAAAAAGAGTAAAAAGATTATAAAAATTTATTTTTACTTAATTAAATTTTTTTAGGTAGTTTGTGGAATTAAAGAATATAACATACTCTGTATATAATTATAGAATATAGAAAATTTTATATACATTTCAAATTTTCAATTTCATAACATGTAAGATATTATAAATATATAAAAAATATAAAATATTTAAATAAGGAGAGTAAAAACTTCTATATAAAAACTTTAAACGAAAAAATGAAATTTAAATTAAGTACAATTCAAATTAAAAAAATGAAAACCTTTACTTTAATTTTAATGTTAAGAAAGTGAAAAGAATAAAACTACTAATACTTTTTTCGAAATATTAAAATAAAACTAAAGCTAATCATCCTAAACAATTACATCATTTAAATTAGTTAAAAAATCAATAAAAATAATGAATTTGTAAGAGAATATATCCATAAACGATTATTTATCAAAAATACAATTTTTTCCTGAAAATAAGAATGTAACATTTTTATTTAAAAAACGCAATACACTTTTAGATTTAGTTGAACTTTCATTTATAAAATTCACAATTGAAGTACATTTTTGTACTTTTTGAACAAAAATGGGAAGTATTTACAAGAATAATTTCACGCTTGACCGATTTAATCTAAATAATATCACCTTTACGTAATCCCACAATAATTCAATCTTTGCACCTCATCTTTTCTTGTTGGACCCTAACCGGTTGATCACCTATTTTACCAAGTTTTTTTCTTTTTACTTTGCACATCTTAGATAAATAATCACACTTTCCACAAATCTGTTTAAAACAGTCTCATGTTTTTTTTCTCTCCCTAAAACTTGACTTTCTTTATTTTTTATCCCTAGACACTTTTTTTTATTCATTTTCCTTCCTTTTGTTCTTATTCCTTAATCATATTTATTATTTTATTTCTCATTCTATTAATTAGGAATGTTTTTATGTAAAAGATCACAGGCTTAGATGGGGGGGACCTGGCTTTGCCCCACCCCAAATTTAAATAATATCTATATTTTTACCTTTTTAGAGTAAAAAATTTCGTGTAATTTTTTTTTCCTCAATAACATTCTTTGTACAGGCTCAGTCCAACCTAGTATCCTGGCTCCACCCCTGTAAAAGATCATTCTCAAATAGATATTGTTTTTCATTTTTTTTCTTCCTATATTTTATTTCATTTCCCTTTTTATGTGTTTTTCTTCTAATCATTCTCTTTTTATTAAATATCTTTTTCCCACTCTACTTTTTGTTATATTTTCTTTTTATTTTCACTTTTCTCCATTTTCACTCTATGTGATGAAAAGATTAGGGAAAAATAATATTGAAAGAAAAATAAAACATTCGTGAAAATGTAAAAATAAAAAAATACATTTTCCCGAATGTTGTATTATTCTATTTGAGAAATACAATAATTAATATGAAAAAGAAATAAGGATAAAAGAATGGAAAACCGAATAAAAAGTTTGTAGGTATAAAAATAAAGAAAGATAATTTTATGAGACTCTATGAGTAAAAATAAAATTGAAATATGGGACTCTATGACGGAATTTGTGAAAGGATTCAAATCGATCACCAATCGATAGTAGGTCACCAATCGATCAGGGTCCAACAAAAGAAGATGGAGTGTGAGATTTTTCTGGGATTATGTAAAGTTGAGATTATTATGAGAAGGTCGTTCAAATGTGAGATTATTCTTGCCAATTTTTCTAAAAACAAGAATAGTTCAGATTAAAGAGAACGGGCATAGTTCAGATTAGTTATAGAATACGCTTAGTTTCTATTTAAAATTGACATGTTATAGCAGATTATTATATCCGATCATGGATCATTATTAGCGGACGATCCATATAATCACGATTATATGGAAATAATCAATAGGTGAGATTATTGTTAGCAGATCGGGAATAGTTGAGATTATGATTTTCAATCTTTCCTAAATTCAATTAAGTAGTTTGAGAAAATCTTTAAAAGATTTTGAAAAACAAAGGCACTAATACCGACTTGTAACACTCCCAAATTTATACCTGAAATAGATACTATTCATAGTATGTTTGGAAAGAATTTTCTAGTAATATTTGGAATTCAAAAGAGTTCAGATTGCAACAGAATAAAACGTTCATTGGATGTTACAACCACATCCGGTTATTTGGTAACCGATCGAATGCACATGCTAGAGCACGAGCCAAAATAAATTCAAGGAAACAAGTGTTGAAATGCATGTCAAAACAGAATAATAATATTTCGAAGTTCTCAAACTTCGAAATATTAAATAACTAAGTGATTAATGGCTAATAAATTACACAATTTAACCCATCTCTCATGATCAAGTACAACAATCATCACCTCCATCAAATAAAATGCAGCAAACAAAATAAAAGAGAAAGACACAAAAATTAGCTTTATAGTTAAGGAAGACCTACTCAAACTGGTAAAATAATATAGCTTTATAGTTTGTAAAATAATATATATTTTTACATAACTATCAAATTGGTACAAATTTGGTGCAAATTGGTACAAATTTGGTGCAAAATTTGTACCAAATTATGCATTCAAAAATATATAATTTGTCTCAAGATAATCTCCACAATTCTCCAATAATAATATCAATTTCTCACAATTTACAATTTTGGCTATAGTAAATTAAATTAATTAATTTACTCAAAATTCACATAATTCTAAATTCCCAAAAAATAATATCATACTCATATAAGTTTAACATAGCCTAATTACACATAAAATTTCATAAATAATCTCAAATCATAGCTCAAACCCTACTTAAATCATAATAGGGGCAAAATGGTAATTTTGATCAACATTGGTACTTAATTACCTCAAGGCTAGCAACGAAATCAAAACGTGAATCCTAACTTGAGAGATCACACACATGACCTTTGTAATTCCTAGGATTCTGAGTTTACAATTTAGGAGAGAGAAATTGAAGAAAATAAAAGAAATCAGAAGAATCGGTAGAAACGCACTTACTAGAAGATTTAATTGAATTAACACTTTCTTGGCTTCAAAATACATCTTAGATGGAAATGAATAGCTTGAAGAAAACTGGTATGGGGATTCGACTCTATAGTGTTAAGACTTGGAGAAAATTCAGAGATCGAAAGGGGTTATATTACTTAGGAAAAGTTCCCGAAATAGGACTAAAACAGTTTGAAAATTCCAAAATAAGACTGACATGTTTTTTATTCCCAAAATAGGAGTAATTACTGTCAAGTTTGGAAAATACTGCCATGTTTGAATTCTGGTACTGCCAAAACATGACAATAATTAGTCCTATTTTGGGAATAAAAACATGTCAGTCCTATTTTGGAATTTTCAAATCTTTTTAGTCCTATTTTGGGTAATATCTCCATTACTTATAGATAGTGACATAAGTTTATTTTTCCTTCGTCTCTGTTTTACCGCATTGTGAAAAAAGCGGGAATTAATGTCCCCTTCCTTCAGCCAAAATTCTTTATAAAATATCAAAAGTAGGTACAATTTTTTGTGATTAATTTTTTCAAAACCAGGATATATATGCAATGTAAAAAAGAATATAAGAACTTCAAATAAATATATAAAATTTAAAAAAATCAAAGAATTCAAATTATATTTATCAATAAAACTAAAATAGAAATTAAAAATCTTAAAATTTTAGAAAATAAAAAATCAACTAAACTAAAATCTGTTTAAATATATAAATTCAAATAAAATTTAAAATAAATAAAATTTTTAAAAACATAAAAAATGAATAATTTAATATTTGGTTTTTTTTTGTAATTTAATACTATCTTTTTTTAAACAGCTACACAATTCAATTATTGATGTTATAATTTCTTTGTAGCTTTTTGATGCATATTGTTTCTTGTTGTTAATTGGTTTAAAAAAAATTGTTTTTGATTGTTTATTCTTGTTTTTGTTATTGATTTTCATAAATCAAATATATTATTCTAGGTGTTGAAACCTGATTAAATAACTAAAAAGAAATCAACTTTTAACAACAAAAACAACACCACACCCCAAAAAGTGACACAAATCAACAACAAAAAACAAAGAAAGCAACACGATGCAACAAAAAGAAACATGATGCAACAAAAAGAAACACTATGAAACAAAAAGAAACTCTATGCAATAAAAAGAAAATTATGCAACAAAAAGAAAAACTAAGCAACAAAAAGAAACACGATGAAACAAAATACAACATGAAACAAAATGCACCACACAACAATTAACATAATGAATATAATTACAACACACAAGTGTTCGATTAATATATATACTTCAACTTATTTGTCAACATTTATGATTGAAATTGTAATCACAATTTATACTAAAGTACAAGAAACTTATGAAGTCCAGCAATAATAATTTTATTGCTCCATTCCAATGCCAGTGTCTTAATAGTCACCTGCTACAAAACTTGATTTGGGTGAGAAACATAAATCGATCAGACCTACGCGATCTACGATCTGAATGCCGCGTACCCAAACGCGGTACGAAAGCGTTCCAAACGCAGGTCGGATCGCAGGTCGGAATGCATCGCCAATCGATCTCAATCGCTTCAGAGGTTGTTCCGCATCGCTACAGGGGTCGTTCCCAAACGCACCTGGTCTCGACCGCAAGACCATCGGCAATGCGCTGAATCACGATTTCTGAACCAGACGCGTTCAGACTCGTCGTTTGCTGTGCGGATATCTGTGCGGAAAACTAGACAGGCGCGTTCATTTGAATTTGAGACTTCGAATCGTTTTACAGAGTCATTTCTACAGCCATGACTAGGC